AACAGCCTACAAATGTGGGTTCCGCTTGGCCGCGGAAAGACAGTTGAAACACGGCTGCTCCTGGTGCGCCCGAAATTCGCATTATATCGTCGGTGGTGTTAAGTGTGAATACACTTTATAAGCGACCCCAAACCATCCACCGCCGTCGGCGGCGTCCGCAGTCTTCTCTCTATCTTTAAAAGAAAGAGGACTTGGCGGGCCGCAGCGCGACGCTGATATCGGTGTCAGTAACGCGCCTCATACCCCCTCCCCCTTCGCTCGCTCCTCCGCTCTCCTCGCTCGCTGCAGCTGCGCGCGCACCCCTCTCTCTCTCGCGCCCGCCTTCTCTCTCAGTCTCTCGTCGAGAGCGGGTCGTGAGGGGGAGTAAAGTTAAAATCCGTTGGCATTCGCCAGTGAGTTAACGTAAACACCCCCGTGTGATCAAATTGCGATTCCCAGGAACCATTACACCATAAAGGCACCATAGTGTGATTAATAAATATAATAGTGCGAATTAATAAATACCCCTCATAGCATCACCCCGTGTATTCGCACTTAACCATGTTCACCCTCGGGGAAATGCTTGGGAGTTTTTTTTTTTTTTTTCTGCTTGTTATTTCGCGCGGTCGTGGTAAAGAACACCGGCGGATGTGGTCACCAACCTCACCGCCGTTGTGATCTGATAATAACTTTTGCAGTAAAAAAAAAATGTGTGTGACGGCTGAGGGAGACGGCCGCTATAGATTGCTTTCGGTTTTCCTGCGTTGGGCGACGACCACCGGAGGAGGGAAGAAGGCGGAGGAGGAGAGTATGGCGTGAAGAGAGCAGGGCCAACAGGTGCTCCACCGTAGCTCGCAAGGTTTTGTCCGTCGACGGGCCGACTGATTCGTCCCGACCAAATCACATTCCCGTTTCTTCAAAAGTGAACACGAGAAAATCCCCCCCCCCCCCCCCAGATGTGTGTTTCTCTCTTCGAATCACTATGTGAAGCCCTGTTTCCTGCCACAGAGTTGTGCCCCGTTACCCGGTCGCCGATGCATGTGGAGGCCAGCACACATGAAAAAATAACGCTGGCGTGGGCAAACTGTGCATGCGCCATAGCGCTTGGTGTTCGACCGTACTTTATGCATGCCCGTGCGTGTATGCGCGAGTGTTTTTATGTACGCATTCCAAGCCCCCACGCTACGCTATTGGACGCAAGACTGTAGGGTGGAGATTGGGGGGTTCTGGCACGCTTCGAGATTGTTTCACGTTTGAGCATTTCGCGTGATACTTGAGCACTTATATATACGTCTTCACGTTGACCACCAGTAGCCAAAGTAAGCTGTTATACATATATACAACCCCGGAAGGCATTAATGGATACGGCCGACTGGACGGCAGCGCTACGAAACGTTCTATCCGAAGGGTGGAGCAGTTCCCTGCCTCCATCCACACGCGTCATACGCGACCTTTTCCAAGGTATCAAGAACAAAGGTATTCAAAGCCACCTGGGTGTGAGCTCATCTCGAGCTTGCAGCGGTGCTTCGTGGCATTGCTGTGCAACATGTGTCCTTTCCGAGCACAGCGATTTACTTCCAAGTAAATCACACAGAAAGCTTAAACAAACGGCCCGCGCTTGACTGCACTTGATATGTTTCTTGAAGCAGCGACGACACGAAGCGCCTAATGTTACCCAAGCCACGTGGTTTCTCATTACCGGCAGTTAGGCATGTTTCCTGCTCGACGTCGATGAACAACTAATTCCACGTTAGATTCCGAAAGCGCTGGAACTGGCTGCCTAATCGATGAAGTCTTTTCTTCACAGCAGCTGAGGTATATCTCGTTGGTAGTACATAGCGAGGGGCGGTTTCAGCACGATAACAGAATGAGAGGCGACAACTTTAAAAGCAGTTTAAATTGATTGATTGATGTATGGGGTTTAACGCCCCAAAACCACCATATGATTATGAGAGACGCCATAGCGGAGGGCTCCGGAAATTCCGACCACCAGGGGTTCTTTAACGTGCACCCAAATCCGAGCACACGGGCCGACAGCATTTCCGCCTCCATGGGAAATGCAGCCGGGATTCAATCCCGCGACCTGCGGGCCAGCAGCCGAGTATCTTAGCCACTAGACCACCCCGGCGGGGCCAAAAAAGCAGTTTAGAAGCCATGGGCATCCACGAAAGCGGACAATGATGCACCAGCACACCTTTGATACAGAAAAGGATAAAAGATACGTTCGCAAAAACCACACATCCGGAAATCAATGTGCGTTGCATTCGCTATCGAATGCTATAAAATGCAAGAAGGGTTCTAAGGGTTTCGCGATTTCTTTCCCGACATCAAGCCTGCCTAAGGCCCGTTTGGAGATGAGTTACAAGCACCGGCGTCGCTCTGTGGTAGAATACTGGGCCTGCACGCAGCGGACCCGGGTTCGAATCCCGATGTGTAACTTTTTTTTCCCTTATTTATTGGGTACTGGTTACGGTCACTAGCGGCGGAAGACAACTACGGCGCCGCAAGTGATCCGTATCCTGATCTCATAACAGCTTTCACTGCCCTGAACCTTTTGCGACTACACAAGGAAAGAAGGGGGAAGGGGGGGGGGGAGGCACCTCCTCTATGGACTTGCCCCGGCAGTGCATTCTTATGATGGTCACACATATTTACAATCACTTGCAGGGGCCATTATGACAGCACCCAGGGAAACTTAGGTAGAAAGTCATGTTTACGTCAAAACACCCGCTAGGTCCTCCTTGAAACCGAAGGCTTCCCAGCCGAGATAAATAAGAGGTTAGCAACAAAATAAAATTTGGTAGATCCCCCGTACAGTGGTAATCGATTATATTCAAGGCACGAACGAGGAAGGTTGAACAGATTAGATAGATAGATAGATAGATAGATAGATAGATAGATAGATAGATAGATAGATAGATAGATAGATAGATAGATAGATAGATAGATAGATAGATAGATAGATTCAAACTCGCCTAAGTGCGCTAGCGCTAAGAAATGTATGTTCGCATTTAAGAGAAGGCAAACACTCATCGCCCAGGCAAGGGGCCCCGCCGCGGTGGTCTAGTGGCTAATGCACTCGGTTGCGGACCCGCAGGTCGCGGGATCGAATACCGGCTGCGGCGGCGGCTGCCTTTTCGATGGAGGCGAAAATGCTGTTGGCATGTGTGCTCAGATTTGGGTGCACGTTAAAGAACCCCAGGTGGTCGAAATGTCCGGAGCCCGTACTACGGCGTCTCTCATAAAATCATGTGGTGGTTTTGGGACGCTAAACCCCACATATCAATCAATCAATGAAAGCCCCGGCAAGTGCTATCAGTATCTCTTTTCAATGTACTGCTGCCTTCGCTGTAGAAACATATTTTACTGGGAATAATCCCGCTGTGCAATCTGTCAAAGCGTTTCATGAAGACGAATTTCGACGTCGTGCAGGACATGTGCACAGCGCGTCGGCGGAAAGCAGCTGTTTCCTGCGCATTTTCATGCGCGTGATGCTCCACGGCGACAATTTTCCTTTTAGGCCTCGCTCCGTCTTTCCCGCAGCTTTTTCACGCAAGTGCCAAGAGGAAGCAAGAAGAGAAACACTCGAGAACCCGAAAATTTCTTCCTGCAGAGACAGGCTTCTTCTTAGGACTGCCACTTCGTTTCGACTGTTGAGCAAACCGAACAGAAAATCCCGGTTTCTTGTACAGACGCGCGGTCTTGCTGATTGATTGATACTCGTGACCAATGTAGCATTCGTAAGGGTGGACTAGTGTAAGAAAGAAATCGCACAGATCGAGCACCGCACAAGTGGCGTAGCGAGCTTTGGCACTCGTGTCCCGGTTTCCACGAAAGAATACAGTCGCTGTGACCGTGAAACAGCAGCCGCGCCGCGTGCTCAGCAACATTGCAGCAATGCCGCGCAGAGAAAGCGTGAAACTGTGTGCCAAGTCAGCTGCGGTGGCGGAATCGCGAGAAACGAGAGCGCCGATCCTCGGAGATGCTTGCACGCCGTGCTGGTGCGTTGCCAATGGAGCGCTTTCATCAACGCGAAAGAAAAACTCGGTCGCTCATCGCCGTGCGAGCGCACTTCCTGCGACCTCCTGCATGGACGGTGCGTTTTCCTTATCTTGCGTCAGCCGTGCACAAAGCCCGCCGCTGCTAGGCGTTCTTTGCGGGCGACCAACGGCCAAGTGCGTCGTCTCTAAGAGAAATGCACGACGTGAAAAGTAGTAATGGGTATTCCTTTATTTATTGTCAGGCGGCATCGTCAACCAAAGAAGCCCATGCCAACATTCAGCAGCGGGATATTAAAATGCGATCAACGAGCTCAATATAAACTCAGTGGTCATTCAATGGCATGAGCGACAACTCCTGCGATAGCACTATACGCATGCAAGTGTAAGTTGGTTTTTGTTGTTATCCTTATTTTTTTTGTCACACATGATCTTAAGTACCTGTCTTCATAGATGTATCTGGAACTATTTAATCTTTACCCAGACACGGAGTACCTCTTGGTAACATGATTAGATCGCTGCGGACTGTGTCCCGAGGAGAAGAAAAGCTGTCATCGTACGGCAATGCATGTCCTCATCAATATAACAAAAGTGCGCACCAGCTCCTCGATTGCAAGGACTGCATATCAACAAGCATCAACTCCAGCGCAGTAATTATGTCTCAAACCAACGCAATCTAAAACGCTCGATGCGCGTCGGGTTTCGAGTGCACGTGACAATCCCAGCGAGTGTGAGCAAGCGCCGCCAAACGTTATTGTTACTATACTGGCAATGCCTCCTAGTTCTACGAGACCTTGATACGGGTCACGTGAAAAAACAGCTAACACGCCAGGGGAGAGAGGGCGGTTTCTCGTAGGAGGAAGCGCACCTGAAGAGGCCGTTCTCTTGGGCCTCACGGACAAAATCGCTTTTCTACGTTTTTCATTTTTTGGACACGTGTAAGAGCCCTCGCGTTCACCGGGCAAAACAGGAGTGTGTCGATACGACGAGTCATGTAAACGCGGGCGCAACCAAAAGAGTTACCTCTTGCGTCAGGTCACTGCTCGCGCCGGACGCGTCGCTCGGCGAGTCGGCCCGTTGCTCGCTTTCGGAGGCGGCGGCCACTTCGTTCGGAATGGGCGGCGGCAAGCCCGGGTCCTCGGCCAAGTAGGCGAACACCCGCGTTCGAACACGCCGCAGCAGCGACGGAATGCCCAGTTCGTGCAGCTCGGCGAACACGGGATTCGCGTCGAAGGCATCCACACTCTTGGGATGAATGGACAGCGGCGGCGTCAGGCTCTGCGTGTGAATGAATGCAGACTGCACACCGATGCGCACGCTTCGCACGGGGTCTGCCCGGCGGTTCACGCGCACGGGGTCGGAACCTAGCTGCAGGAGGCTCACAGCGAGCAGCAGCTGCAGAATCGTCGACCGCACACCGCTGCACTTTTTCAGGTTAATCATGGCGATCGTTGACACTTTACACAATCGGCAATCACAGCGATGTTTGCCCTCGAAGGTCGTCCGTCTAATCGCAATCCACAAGCGCGGCTCAGGCACGACGATCAGTCGAAACGCGGTGCAGCGTCTCGCAGACCTCGACGTTAGGAGCTTGTAGAGTTTCAGTTCGTAGTCATCGTCGCTTCTTCTGCTTCCACCGAGGTAACTGGCAACGCCTCGGGCGCATAGCGACGGCTCTTCGGTCACAAATCCCGCACCACAACAGCCTCACGACGCTGACTGCCCGATTCGGCAACAACGCGTGTACAAGTAACACGCCGGCTGTGCGCCTACGCCAAAGCTTGTATGGGCGAACCCAGCAAACAATGAGCAATCTGCATCGGGCTTGCACAGCGCATGCTGGGGCCGCCAGTGCCGCCCTTGTCGTTTCCCGTACGTCACGTCCGAGGTGAAAGTCTCCTCGAAACGTGACGTCATGGCCTCACGCGGCCGGCGCGCGTCCTTGCGGCGGCCATCCCGCTCTTTTCTTTTTCTTTTTTTTTCGCTTCTGGGCGATGTTTTGTTGTTTTGCCGCTGGCTGTTGACCGTTTCGCAACGCTCGTCGTCTCGCATTTAAAGAGATCGTAAATCCCCGGAGCGATGCTTTCCAGTCTACATTTAGAAGCTTGTTGCTATGTTTGATACAGAAGGCTTTTTCGACATTTCTGCACGCTCCAGCTCCGTATGCGCTGCCAACTTCTTGCCCTAGCACCGATTTGTCCCCAGAAACTGCTTGCATTGCTCACTTGGCGCGGAAAGCACCACGATGATCATATATATATATATATATATATATATATATATATATATATATATATATATATATATATATATATATATATATATAATATATATATATATATATATATATATATATTATATATATTTAAACTTCGAGAATAGTGCAGTATAGGAAACAGAACAATAAAATATTTATTTATTTAATCCTAACAGTTTTGGCTGGTGGACCAGCCTTCTTCGGAGAATCTAAGCATTTCGCTTAGATCATCCGAAGCAAGTTATCTTTTAACCCACTTCTCTTCCTTCACATTTACATTACAATTCGGTCTACTACGTTGCCCTATACTTTCCATGGCATTTTGTCTGTTCTTAGAGTTCATTATTATTGTGTCAAAACACAGAAAAACAAGCCTCCATGTATATACTTTATATATATATATATATATATATATAGTCGAAAAAAGGAAGACGACAAACGTACGAAACGCAGTTTTTACTAACGTTTCGGCAGGTGGGCCTGCCTTCACTCCGACGAAGGCAGGCCCACCTGCCGAAACGTTAGTAAAAACTGCGTTTCGTACGTTTGTCGTCTTCCTTTTTTCGACTGCATTTCCTACCGGAACCATTGGATTTATCTCTCGCCTATATATATATATATATATATATATATAATATATATATATATATATATATATATATATATATATATATATATATATATATATATATATATATATATATATATATATATATATATATATATATAACAGACAGTAATGCCTAGGAATGTACAGGGGAAGTTATTATAACCAATGGAATGGAAATAAGAAGAAAGAAGAAAGAAAAGCGGATGAAAAAATTACCAGCTGTGAGCAGGAATCTAACCTACGACCTTCGAATAACGCGTACGATGCTCTCGATTCTCTAACGTATTCGAAGGTCGTAGGTTCGATTCCTGCTCACAGCTGGTAATTTCTTCATCCACTTTTTTTTCTTCTTTCTTCTTATTTACATTCCATTGGTTCTAATAACTTCCCCTGTACATTCCTTGGCATTACTGTCTGTTATATCTCATATATATTGTGTTAAAACACGGAAATACGAGCCTTAGGTATACACTTCTCTCCCTTATTTTATATATAATATATATATATATATATATATATATATATATATATATATATATATATATATATATATATATATATATATATATATATATATATATATGCAAAACCACCAAACGTATCTCTGTCCCGAGGCGTAAGGCAATCTTCATTCCCTGCGCGGGGCTTAGGACGATGTATTTTTCTTTCTGCTTGTTGTACCAGGTTATAATTTATATTGAACTCTGTGCTCGTTAGAGGCACGTGGTTTTCACACGGAAAAATGGGACTAACGCATTTTCCTTCTTCCTTGCAGCAACGCAGGTGCGGTCAATTCGCTCTTTGTCGCCGAGGTCATGAAAAAACGCAGGAACAATGAAAACATCAGAATGCCTAGAGAGCGCCCTCATTGGTAACATGGAGCTAATTCACGAATACGATATGGAGCAGACGTTTCGGCAAGCGGACATGTCTTCAAGGTTGCAACCCTGAGAAAAGCAAGTCCACTGGACTGCAGTTACACCTCGTGTTCACGAATTTTCCATTGCACAAGTTTCCATCTCCTCCTGAAATTTCACCTTTTACGGCGCTAATGTGTAAAAAGCGGCAGCCGTTACATCATGTCGGAGGTAAGCAAAATCCTCGTCTGTCGCTGCACATTGATGAAACCGGGTACGTGGGCTCAGAGCCACCACGAAGAGTTAAGAGGGCCCAACATTCAGGATCACTTCTAAGTGTGTGTGTGGTGTGTGTGTGTGTGTGTGTGTGTGTGTGTGTGTGTGTGTGTGTGTGTGTGTGTGTGTGTGTGTGTGTGTGTGTTGTGTGTGTGTGTGTGTGTGTGTGTGTGTGTGTGTGTGTGTGTGTGGTGTGTGTGTGTGTGTGTGTGTGTGTGTGTGTGTGTGTGTGTGTGTGTGTGTGTGTGGTGTGTGTGGTGTGTGTGTGTGTGTGTGTGTGTGTGTGTGTGTGTGTGTGGGTGTGTGTGTGTGTGTGTGTGTGTGGTGTGTGTGTGTGTGTGTGTGTGTGTGTGTGTGTGTGTGTGTGTGTGTGTGTGTGTGTGTGTGTGTGTGGTGTGTGTGTGTGTGTGTGTGTGTGTGTGTGTGTGTGTGTGTGTGTGTGTGTGTGTGTGTGTGTGTGTGTGTGTGTGTGTGTGTGTGTGTGTGTGTGTGTGTGTGTGTGTGTGTGTGTGTGTGTGTGTGGTGTGTGTGTGTGTGTGTGTGTGTGTGTGTGTGTGTGTGTGTGTGTGTGTGTGTGTGTGTGTGTGTGTGTGTGTGTGTGTGTGTGTGTGTGTGTGTGTGTGTGTGTGTGTGTGTGTGTGTGTGTGTGTGTGTGTGTGTGTTGTGTGTGTGTGTGTGTGTGTGTGTGTGTGTGTGTGTGTGTGTGTGTGTGTGTGTGTGTGTGTGTGTGTGTTTACGCCTGCCACTATTCAGCCACAAGAAAAGAACCAAAGTTTAACTGGTTGCTGAGCGACCACCCATCTTCATACTATAGGGTCATTCCAAGTGAAGCGTCCCAGCCCAAAATTTGACCACCAGCAATCGTGCTAAAAAAAAAATGAGCTGAAAGGTAACTATGTGAAAGCGATTTCAGTGAAGCATTTTTTAAATTGTGTGGTCACATGACCAACCTTCATATGGTGAAAAGAAAAAGTTCCGCGAGAATGAATTACGCGTATGCAACCTTTAGACCGGGTATGGTGACACATTTGGTTTTAAAGCATCATGTTGTCATTGTTCTTTAACGTGCTGTCACAACGAAAACTATATATTACTTCTACGGATTAAAAAGGCTTGGAAGCAAAAAAATACACATATTCAGGCGATTTTTTGTAAAAACTGCTGTAACGTTTCAGCCACTAAACGTCTTTAGTTTTTTTAGTGGTTGATTTGATATCTACAAAAATATTTTAAACGTCTATAAACAAACAATTATTCAGCAAAATTCTTGCGAAATTGACAAAGGGGGAATTTAGGGAAGATTCAATCGCATATTAAGCATCAAGGCCGTTGTTCTAAAAATACACGAAATAGTTCATTATGTTAGCCTTTTCTTTTAATGATAATATCTTTATTCCTATCAATTTTTTAAACGGAAAAATATTTTTTGACGTGTGTAACCAACACCAGCGGTGCGCATGGGAAAAATGTGTACATATATGCACTGCTGTCAGTCTCCTTGACGTCTGCTGCAAAGCAATTGGGCAATTTCAAGCCACTCTTAATCTGCTTTTGTGGTGCAGAAGGAGAAAAAAACGCTTTATCGTTGTTTTGGGGAGTTTTTGTTTTTTTCTCCTTACACGTCCGTTCTTGCATTTGGCAGTGCAGCGAAGTTTCTGCAACGGGTGACTCGACACTCGCAGGGTACACTAGGCGAGGTAGCTGTCGGGCTACTAATATTATTTTAGGCAGAGTTTGACGTAACAAGTGCCTGATTTGTTGTACAAGCCGACAGGACTTCACGTCACTTTTTGAGAATGGATTACAAAATACAAAGTCATGTGAAAAGCCTTCCTGAGGCCCCACCATCAGAAGTTAAAGGGGAGAAAATAATGCTAAAATTAACTGGTGATCTCTGGTGTCACCGAAATTCAGAAAGATTGCTTTTATGCATCCTAATTCATCATGTTTTTTTATGCTTGAATCATCTTAAAAATGCATCTCATATACAGTATATGCAGAATTTGCGAAATTACTGATGTTTGCTTACATATTTGTTAAGAGTGTGGTATATATGACTTGAACGAAGTGAAATATTTCATACGGAGACATAAAGAAGTAAAGTATATTTAAATACGGTTACTGCTAGAAATTGAGACATACATTTGGAACTATTTTTCAGGAACGAACTTCACCCATTTTCAGGAACGAACTTGATCCAGCTCTTGGCTATATTAGTATGTGGGCCTAGTAATGAAGACTGCATGTTTAGCAAATGAGTATCTTGCCCCGGCACAACTTATGCAGTGAATCTGCTTCAGCAAGCCTCGCCCACATTTTTGCCAGTAGAGACAGCATACATGTCTTGCAATGGATAAGCGTCGTTCACTGCTTACTTGATAACATTGTTCTGACACGAGAATAATTTTCTGAAAGGTTTGCTGACATGCTTAATTGGCTGAAGACACATTATTATATAAGTAAGCAGCAGTACAGGTACCTCCAAGAAATGAAGTCAAGTTTAAGTTCCCAAGATGTTGTGGTAATATATATTGCGCCGAAAATTACATTTTAATACTTCAGGACAACCTCAGTCGTACCGCTGGGTGAATGCACAGGCCACAGTGCATCCTGTAGTTGTTTACTTTATGGACCAGCAAAGCACCGGTGCAGGTGTTTCTGCGAGGTGTTTTGCCGTTATTTCAGACTGTCTGGAGCACGACACAGACGCATTACACGCATTTCAGTGCGAAGTACTGGAGGTAGTGAAACGGGATCTGCCACAAGTGAAAAACATTCATTATTTTTCCGATGGAGCTTCTTGATGGAGCTCCCCTTTCTGATGAAGTTC